CTCTCTCTCTCTCTCTCTCTCTCTCTCTCTCTCTCTCTCTCTCTCTCTCTCTCTCTCTCTCTCTCTGTGTGTGTGTGTGTGTGTGTTGTCATATTTGCTATACACTCAAGAAAAGCATGACTGTGCCAGACTTTCGTCGGACTTTCACCGACTCATGTGTGTGTGTGTGTGTGTGTGTGTGTGTGTGTGTGCGTGCGTGTGTGCGTGTTTTTTTTTTGTTTTTGTGACATGAGTGCAGGTGCTTTTGGATGATGTCAACACGGGTTATCAGCACCTTGCCGAGCTGCAGGTTCGAACTCGCAGCTAACTTTTCAGAAATTCACAATCTCTTCTCTTGCCTTTTCTTTCTTTCTTTCTTTTTTTTTTTCTTTTTTCTTTTTTTTTTGGAAGAATAGCCCTTGTGTAAGCCCTCTATCCCGGCGGTGGTAAGAGAACCGTTGGGATTGAGGGTCTCTCCCTCTCTCTATTTACTCCGTTCTTTGCAGATCTCTCGCCTCCTATTCCCTCTCAGGGCATACTCACAGTCCGACTTCCATTGATGAATCTGACTGCGATTGCGGCGGACTCTGGATGCATCTGACCACAATTGTGTCCCAAGTGGAGTCGAAAAGGTTCCAGTGTGAGTATGCCCTTTTAGCGGGTGTTTTTTCTCCATCTGTTGTTTGTAGTACTTTGTAGTAGCTGTGTTGCAACCCGTATGCACCCCATTTGAGTACCGATTCATACTCCTGTACTCGTAGGCTGCTCGTGCGCGAGGGGCCCCGTGTGACTTTTTTTTTTTTTTTTAATCCGGTATTGTTTTTWTTTTTTTCCTCAAATTCTAATAAGAATCTGCAGATGATGCTCAGCCAAATGTTGCTTGTTTTGTGCTGGTGTATAACATTTTTTTTTCGGAATTTTTTTTTTCGTCTTCTTCTTCTTCTTCTTTTCTTTTCTTTTTTCTTTTTTTTTTTCCGTACGGAGGCGTACAAAACGTACGAGATGACGTACAGGTTCCCGTACAGGTCCCGTAGCGATATTACTTGTACATTTCGAATGGAGTCGCTGTGTACGTGTACGTTCGGTAAAGTAGCTTTGTGGTTTCCAGGGTGTTGTAGAGGTCTTTTTCTGGACCCACGGCAGGTACCTATCTACAGTCAAGAACTAAGTTATGGGACGCAGACCATCCTATCTTGGAGGATCCCGCTCAGACAGCCCCTACTGCGGGTTCCCCAACGATTTCCTCCACCGGAGTCTGTCTACTAACACCCCTCCTACCGGGATCCCTTAAGACAATCCCCTACTGTAGGTTCCCCACCGATATCCTCCAGCAGAGCTTGTCCCAAGCCAACCCTCCCCCCGAATGGGACCCCATCCCACCTAAAGGTCCTTGCCCCCCCCAAAGCATAGCCTAAGGTATCCAACACACATGAGCAGTCTAACCACAAACCCCTACCTGCATCCTCGCTAGACTGCTAACTGTATCAGGCAAACCTCTTATAGGCCAGGACGCCACATACAACACCATGGACAACCCTTGGCCCTTGGGTGGTGCGCAGGCAGTGTCTGTAATAGCTTACCACGCGTCAGTCCAAGGGGTGTGTGTCCAGCCGTGCGTCATTCTGACGCCCTGCCGGTGTCCATGCATGAGGCTGTGGATTTGAACCCGCAACCTCATACCACGATGCACATTTCCAACCGGTGCTCTAACCACTGAGCTACATCAGCTTTGTAGTAAGTTTGTACCGATCTGTATTTCGTTTGTTTTCCGTCTTTTGTTTGGAACTTGGGACTAATTTTGAATAAATAATAAATATTAAAATAAATCATGGCTACCTTCTGGACATCTGGACGGTCTGGATCTGGATCCTCGCGCACTGCCCGCTGTACTCGAGTACGGTATAACAGCAATTTTGTCAAAACGGACATTTTTTTTATTTTTTGAACGAAATTGAAACCTGGATTGGGGCCCGATTCAGCCCGATTCCGGTCGAAATTTTGACGAAATTGAGGGTCTGGCGTTCTTAAAACGCCGTATCCCCTGGACTCCAGCTAAGTCCAGATACAACCAGGGGGTCCGACGTTCGTTCTTAAAACGCAGGAACCCCTGGACTCCAGCTAAGTCCAGATACGTCCAGGGGTTTCGGCATTTCAAGAACGCCGGACCCTCAAAAGCTACATATTTTGACCTGAGTTGGGCTAATTTAGTCGGTTTCAATCTCGTTAAAAAAAAGAGCGGTCCGTTTTGACGAAATTGCTGTTGTATTACCACTGCTCATTGTTGTTGAGGAGTGTGGTCCTGGACTACAGTGAGCAGGAAAAATGTGGTCCAGGACTAAGTCACTGTTGTCCTGGACTACAGAGAGCAGGACTGTGATCCAGGACTAACTAAGTTACTGTGGTCCTGGATGACAGAGAGTAGGAATGTGGTCCAGGACTAAGTTACTGTGGTCCTGACTAAGTTACCGTGGTCCTGGACGACAGAGAGCAGGAATGTGGTCCAGGACTAAGTTACTGTAGTCCTGGACTTAGAGAGGGCAGGACTGTGGTCCAGGAGTAACTAAGTTACTTTGGTCCTCGACTACGGAGAGCAGGACTGTGGTCCAGGACTAAGTTACTGTGGTCCTGG